ATTTGAAATCTTTGTCTTTTTAACATGATGCTGAAGTTTGTTGATTAATATGTTAGAATAGGTTATCTTTTAAAAATAAATCATTTTATGATGGTATTCTAGGATAAATAGGAGGATTGTTCACTTGAAAAAACTCACCTAAAATGAGTTAATAACTCATTATTTAATAAAAATATGTATATTTCCGAGCAGAATTAAATAAATGAAATAATTTTATTTAAATTTAAGGCATGAGATGAATATGCAACCAATTTTTTGATTTAACAAAACCCTCTTCAATTAATAATTCTTGTAACTCCTCTAAATTCCAATCAATATAAAAATCAGAGCCTCTTTCGAAAAATCTGATAATTAAACTTTATTGCACATTGTTTGATAAGAGCCTTTTTATATCCAAAAGTCTAGGAGGATTTGTTGAGGCTATTTAAAAATAACATCGAGATTCCATTTTATGTCCTGATATATATCTTAGTTTTTTGACCTTGTACAAATAAGGATTCTTTAAGTATTCCTGAATGATAACTTTTTAATTATTTTTACCACAAAAAGATCCATTGTTATACTACTTTCTGATTAACTATTCATTTTCTTTATCAACAAGTAAAACTCCTTTTCCCAAATGATAATTAGTTTTATAAATAAATTATAGTCCTTCGGATTTAAATTTATTTTAATATTCAGGCGAATCAAGGATTGAGAAAAATAACTTACAATCAGTTTCATCTGTCATTATATAGGATTTTTTAGAAAATGTTGCTTCATTTTGACATTCTGTAGATGCATTTACATGATTGAGCTAAATTAAATAATTTCTTAAATTTAAGGATTAGAGAGATTTTAAAACCAATTCATCTTAACCAGGTACATGCATATATTTTTAAAAAAAACATCCTACTTCCTTTCCAAAAAAATGAGTTCTTAAGTAAGTTTTGGAATAAAGGTATAACACTGTTGTTCTCTAAATTACAATTAAAAAGCAATACTAAATCAAGTTGTATATATTATTCTTGTTCAAGAGGAGTATTTTGAATAAAGTTAGGGTTAGCATCAAATAACTGTTTTCTTATAATTGATCTTGCTAAATTATTTCCTCCTTAATCTCTAAAAATGTAGCTATCCTCTAAAACTACTTTTGGATGTAAAATTTTATAAAGATCACTTTTCAAACAATATATTGGATTCTTTTGAATAGCAAGTTCGTATCCACAATTTCTAGAATTAAATTATTCTTACATACAAGGTTAAAACAATGATCCACTTCTATCAGTTTCCTGCTCAACCCATTTTTAGACAATTTTAATTGCAGTCATGTATTCAATAATCTATAAATTGTACGATTAAACTAGCAATTAATATGTTATGAATTATAATAACAAAAGTATCAGAGAGGCAAAGAAAAACAAAATTTATTAAATCATATAGATAAAATAAAAATAATTGCTGTTTCAAATGATTATGGTTCAGTATTTTTAGTTTTTAAGTGATTCCAAATAGTTTTTTATTAAAAGGCTCCCATTACACCTGCATCTCCATGAATTTTCTCAATTATTAAACTATTTGTACAACTTCAATCATACCAACATTATCTTATGTTGAAATTGTTTTATAAGGTTTCATTCTAAAATCTAATCCTGCATCTAACCAAATTTTATCCATTATTTTTATTAATTATAATGTCAACATATCTTATATAAAATCATCGCCAGTTTTAAAGATTATTTTTAAAAGTGTTGCTTATTTGAGTTATTATTTTATTAATCATTAGTATGATCTTTGGCATCTTTTCCTTATTTAACATCTTCAGATATCATATTTATTTAGATAAAACCATCTTCACTTGCTTTGACAATCTTTTAGGGTTAAGCTATCAATAAGTCTTCATCATCTTCAATGTAATAAGGAATTACTGATAACCATTAACCATTTTTTTAGAATCCATTACTTAACATTCACTCATTTGGAATTATTAAGCTTCCATTCTTGAATCTAATGCCAATGAAAATGGTTTTGGTAGTTTAGGGTATAGTTAATGTAATTCAGCTTGTAAAAATGAAACCCTATTATCTTTTGGAATATTTTCCTCTTTAACTTTTTATGCAATATTATAAAGTTCATTGTCAACTAAGACTTCATTCATTAATTATTATCTGAATTCACCACAAAGCATCAGTAATTGTTCTAATTTAAGAGAATATCTTTCATAAGATGGCCTTACATGTAATTATACTTTAAGCAACCAAAATAACTAATGACCAACAACCCAAGGATTTTAAAGACTTTTTTCTAATAACATCTCTGCTAATTGATTGAAAAGATGTTTCTCAAACATTAAGCATTAAGTTAATTCTAACATATATAATTACAGTTCATCATCAGATAAAATGCTGACTCTCTCTACAGCATACAATCTAACAGTTTCATCAGCAAATGGAGCATCTAATAATGGTAGTGCATCTTCAGGAGGTAAAGGAGTCCATAATTTTATCATATTATGGGCTTCCCTAACTTATTCAGGATCATCCCATTCTATTGCCATCAAAAATATTTAAAGAGCGTAAGGCAATGTCTTATAATGATTTCTACATATCATCAAAATATATTTATGCTAATCTGTGAAATATGGTCTATTTAGTGGATTATATTTTAGTAAAGCCTACAATATAGCTAAATCTTCAGTTCGTGGAGTTGTTGACCAATTTTTAAAAGTGAAAATTTAGTTGTAACTTTCACTAACTGGTTAATTTTATTATATATTTTATGATGAAAATTAATGGCTAAGTTTATATGAACTAAATTGTGAGCTTGATTATTCATGAATATTGAAAGAACTACCTTATCCCATATGCATAACTGAAGGAGCTATATGTGTGTTTCTTTCATTAAACTCTCCAAATCTCAATAAGGTTCCTTATTCTTATGATGTAAATCCAACTTATGCATATTATTCATAAGGATTTGTATGTTGTCGTTAATGAATGGTATTTGTTGCATAAAAAGTATTTCCTCCAACTGGTCCTCTTTGTTTTTTATTAAAAAAATGGGATCCACCACTAAAACTATTAGCAGAACTAGAAGAGTTAGCTGTAGTTGAATAATTACTTTAATATAGAGTTCCAAATTATTCAGAAGCTAAAGTTGAAGATTGCATCTATTAATATGTTGAATAA